TTTCAAGCGTAGGTATTTCCACGCGCCGTATTCTCACGCGTCGTATTTTCACGCACCGAATTTTCAAGCGTAGATATTTCCACGCGCCGTATTCTCACGCGTCATATCACCACGCGCCGTATTTTCATGCGTAGATATCTCCACGCGCCGTATTCTCACGCCTTGGTATCTCCACGCGCCGTATTCTCATGCGTAGGTATCTCCACGCGCCGTATTCTCACGCGTCCTATTTCCACGCGCCCCACTTCCACGCGTCAATAGTTACATATTTAATTTCAAAACCTAAATAACGACAAGTTTTCATAATGAACCTATTTTAACAATCTGACAATTATTTATTTCAACTAAAAATAGTTTTGGACATGTAAAAGAAACTTTAATAGCTACTTTATCTATTACCGATACAGGTAATTGGTTGAAATACAACTTTTCTCTTTGGAGAACGTTATCTTGGAAATTATAGTTCTATTTCCGTAAGCGAAGTCACCGAAAGTTCGCGAGTCACTTATCGACTGTTTCCCCTAGAGACATATCCCATCGGCGATCTCGAAAAGTGCCTTAGCGATCTCTTTTAATTCGAAGGTTTCAATTAAGAGGTGAATTTTGACGGGGAAAGGCAGATGCTCGAAAATGAGTCACGCTGACGAGACGCAATTTTTGCCCACAGCTCGTTATCATATCAGTTATTATTATGATCCAGCCGCATGCTTCGCGTGCTACCGTATGATAACCAGTCACCTCGCATTATGCAAATTGTGACACTTATCTCACCATTATTTTCAGTACTGTGTGGTCGCTAATCACCTTTACGGTTTATCGTAATCACGGACAAACAGATCGACCTCCTCAATTTATGTCCTTCGTTTCGACTATTAATTGAGACTGCTCCTTCTTTAAATATCGTAACGTCACTTTATATTCGGCACAAAATGAAACATTTTTATGTATACTTGCTGTTTATGCACTTTGATATATTTGCAACATGTTTGCACATTTCATATCATGTTTATGAGTGATCATAAAATATTATCGTGGTAGGAAAATGTTTTGCATCAACTGGCAATATGTTGTATAATAGTGATTTATCATTTTCTTTGAAGTTGATCGACACTTGAATGTTGTATTGTAGCACAAGATGTTATCTGACATTATATAATTTTTAATAACTTTTTTGTGTTCGACAATTTGCTACATAATTTCAAAAATGTTGCATCATATTTTGTGATGTCTTGTTTCAGTGACATTTGGTAGCGTCTTATTTTAACAACATGTTTTAACATTTTATTTTAACAACATTTTATAACATATTTTTTTTGCAACATTTTAAAACATATTTTTTTTACAACATTTTATAACATATTTTTTTAACAATCTTTTTAAAACATATTTTTATGACAACATTTTATGACATCCTTTTTTAACAACATTTTATGACCTCTTTTTTAACAACATTTTACGACATCATATATTAACAGCATTTGACAGCGTACATGTATGAGAACATTTTATAATATACTTCCAGAGCAATATATCACAAGCTCGGCTATAAACTATTTCAGGTTAGAATTTTAGTTTAACAAGTACAACGGATGTTATATAACGAATAGTCTAGAGGAGCATAGACGTAGAAACGATAGAAATGACAGTTCGCGCAGTGAAAAATTGCCAGGAATCTAAAGGAGAACGAAGTAAAACAAACGCGATCCTTTTGGAAAACGAGAGATATTACGGTTGCGAAAAGTCGATCGATCATCGCTTGAAACGCGAAAGCAAACACGCAGCCACGTATCTGGCTGCGCGAGGTCCGCATTCAAAAATGCGACAAACGAATCGTCAATTTCAGAGACAATTTATCTCTCCTTTTTTTTACCCCAACGAAACATCAACGGTGGCCTATGCGCAGAGGTGTTTTCCCGACGCGTTCGTTTTATTAGAGTATAAATCTGAAAAGCCTCAGGTCAGTTTGTCACGTCGAAAACGTTCCCGCGGTATATGGACTTTTATTAGAATATAATCGTGCCTGGGCACGATAAAAACGTTTTCTCGAATGATATTTTTTTTTATTGGAATATAACCGCGATACTGCATACCGCAAAACGAACCGCGTTATTGTACGTTTCGGTTGCTGATAAAGCTTTCGTCGCGAATATTATTGGTTTTGGAATAAAATACGCGTGAAAATTGCTAAATGTTGAAAACGGGATTTCAACGTTTTTATTACAATCGCATTGGCGTGGTTAAGTACTCAAATTTCTACAGTTTTCGGATTTTATAATTCAAACTAGTTCCAAGCTTTCTGATTCTCAAATTTACTGTATTTCTACGCGTTGTATTTACCACGCGCCGTATTTCCATGCGCCGTATTTTCACGCGACGTATTTCCACGCGCCGTATTCTCACGCGTGATATTTCCACGCGCCATACTTCCACGCGTCGTATTTCCATGCGCCATACTTCCACGCGTCGTATTTCCACGCGCCGTATTCTCACGCACCGTACCTCCATGCATTGTATTTACCACGCGTCGTATTTCCACGCGCCGTAATCTCACACGTCGTATTTCCACGCCCCATACTTCCACGCGTCGTATTTCCACGCGCCGTACCTCGACGCATTGTATTTACCACGCGTCGTATTTCCACGCGCCGTAATCTCACGCGCCGTATTTCCACGCGCCGTAATCTCACGCGTCATATTTCCACGCGCCATACTTTCACGCGTCGTATTTGCCTCGCGCCGTATTCTCACGCGTCGTATTTCCACGCGTCATATTTCTAAATTCCCAAAGTCCCGAACTCCTCAAATTCTAAAATTCCCCAATTCCAAGTCTCCCCATTTTCAAATTCCTCCAATTCTTTAGCCCCTGAATTTTCTAATTCCCTAATTTCCAAATCTCCCAATCTTCAAATTCCCAAATCCTCACATCCCCAAATTCTAAATCACCCAAATGTAAAAAATTTCTAATATATAAATTACCAGATTTCCACATCCCTAAATTCCAAAATCAAATTTCCAAACTCTGAAATTCCCCAACAGCTACGCCAATGACTACCCATTAAATTCCCACTCGTTTTAGGTCGTTATCACGTTCGGAAAGTGCTGGAACAAATCACTTTTGCGCTGCACGTGTGAAATTCGTATTCGAAACTGATTTTCCTGCGATCTACTATTTAGAGAACGCTTTTCGATTCATAGGATTGTGGTCTCATTTTCCGTTAGCACATAATCAATGAGTCCTTCGTTTCGGTTACAGTGTGGGGTTATATGTGGCACGCGGCCAAACTTCTAGCGATGGCTCTATCTAAGGTCAAGCTCTGTTGAAGAATGTGAGAATACACACTGTTGAAAGCTTGTTCAAAGCTTTATTCAATTTTTGAGAAATTTTTGGTGAAAACCTGGTGTCTTTATATCTACACATACTCACATATTCACATCCACACATTTCCATGTTATCAGATCCCCATATGGTCACATTTATATATCCTCACATCCTCATATGATCACATTCCCATATCCTCACATCCTCATATCCTCATATCCTCATATTCTCACATCCCCATATACCTTCACATCCCCGTATCCTCACATTCCCATATCCTCACATCCCCTAATCCTCACGTCCCCTAATCCTCACGTCTCCATATACCTTCACATCCCTATATCCTCACATCCCCATATCCTCACATCCCCATATCCTCACATCCCAATATCCTCACATCCCCATATCCTCATATCCCAATATCCTCATATCCCAATATCCTCACATCCCCATATCCTCACATCCCCTAATCCTCACGTCTCCATATACCTTCACATCCCCATATCCTCACATCCCTAATACCTTCACATCCTCATCTCTTAATCCTAAACCTAACCTTGATGCTAGGTTTCCTATATCCTAAGGTCCATAAATTCCTGCTAAAAAGTTGTTCGACCACTATTCAAACAACATTCAAGTAATTCTAATTCTAAGAGTGTCTACCTTCTTTTTTCCAGGACAATGCTGGCCAACATGCCGATAATCTTCGTGCTGTTCTCCCTCTCCTGGGTGGTCGGCATGGTGATATTCGCCAACTACGCAGACTGCGACCCGCTATCGCTCGGCTACATCTCGAAATTCGACGAGATCGTGCCGTTCTACGTTCAAGACAAGTTCCTGAACTTCCCCGGTCTTCTAGGTCTAGTGATGGCGACGCTGTTCAACAGCGCGTTGACATTGGCGGTCTCGAACCTGAACTCGCTCGCCACGGTCACGTTCGAGGACTTCTTCAGCCAGATCCCATCGCTGAGCGATCTGAAAGATAGCCAGCAGTTACGGCTCATCAAGCTGATCAGCGTTATCTACGGAGTGCTGATAGTAGGCGTGAGTTTCCTGGTGGCGATGTTGTCCGGAGTGATCGAGTCCTCGATGCTGATGACGTCCGCCACTTCCGGCCCCCTGCTGGGCGTTTTCTTGTTGGCCATGCTGGTGCCGTGCGCGAACTGGAAGGGCGCGGCGGCGGGGATGATCTTCAGCCACGTGACCACCTTGTGGATCACTTTTGGACACCTGACGGTCAGCAACGACGTGGAGACCTTGCCTCTGTCTACGGAGAAGTGCGACAACGAGACGTTCTCCCCGTGGCTGGCCCAGCCCGTCAGTCCCATGCTCTCCACAAACGTCACGAACCTTCTCCGAAGCAGTGACGTAGCTGAGGCCCCTATGGGACCCCTCCAGTACATATACAGCATAACGTACATGTACTACGCTCTCATCGGCAGTCTCTCGACGGTCATCGTCGGCATTATCGTCAGCCTCATCACCGCCGACCCGCAAAGAGACATGTACGAGCAGCATCTGCTGCACCCACTCGCGGTGAAGATCTCGAGATTCTTCCCAGGAAGACGAAGACTGTACGCCAGCAGCACTCGGTTGCAGAACGAACACAACGTAGCCAACGCCACTTCGTCCTCGTCGGTGACCTCCATCGCCAACGGCACCGAGAAGTCCACACCTCTTCAGGGTGTCGTGGACGATAACGGGATGCTGCGTATCAACGTCGACTACATCGAGAAGCTCAATGCCCTGAAGAGCATGTCCCTGGACGTCACCAACGAGGTCAGCAAAGGCACCCGGCTGTGAAACCTTGAGAACGTTTCAAGTATTCGAGTCTTTTTTTTTTCATTTTTATAGTGTAGACCGTCGAGTGAACTTTTCGACGGAGTCGAATGATGCTCTTGGTAGAATTAGGTAGTATTATGTTATACCGATATTAGCGTAGATTTAGCGGATATGGTAGATCGAATCGGTCTGGAGGATCGATTATAAAGTGGTACTTTGATGGTCAGCGTCCAGCGGAGTATTTAAAGTTACAGGGTAGACGCTAGTACAAAGATATGTAGACGGGGAATGGCTGGAGGTGGTCACGTGGTAGTAAATCTGGTTTCTTATGTGGATACTTGATATCTTGTATCACCATGTGTTTAATAATGGACTTATAAGGTTTACTAATGGAGTGACGACATATTTTTATGTCTTTGTGTATGACATGAGTGGATCAAGGTGCCATGCTGTATATATATTTTGCAAAATATTCCTAAATTCCCTACATCTTCAAGTCTGCAATCGAAATTCCTAGATGGACAAATAGGTCCTCAAGTTTCTGGAACGTCAAGTGTCAAGACTTGAAAGTCCCTAGATTCTCAAATTCTCAGACTCTGAAATTCTTAGATGAACAAACTTTTAGATCCATAAATTCCTAGAATCTCACATCTCAGGACTTAAAAAATCCCTAGATCCTCAAATCCTTAGAGTCCAAAATTCCTAAATGACCAAACCTTCAGAACCCCAAGTCCCTAGAATCCCATATCTCAAAATTTGAAAAATCTCTGGATCCTGAAATCCTAAGATCCTGAAATCCCTAGAATCCCAAATCTCAGGACTTAGGAATCCCTAGAATCCCAAATATCAAGGTTTAAAAAATCCCTAGATCCTCAAATCCTTAGAGTCCAAAATCCCTAAATGACCAAACCTTCAGAACCCCAAGTCCCTGGAATCCCACATCTCAAAACTTAAAAAATCCCTAGAATCCCAAATCTCAAGGTTTAAAAAATCCCTGGATCCTGAAATCTTCAGACCCCAAAATCCCCAAATGACCAAACCTTCAGATCCCCAAATCCCTAGAATTCCATATCTCAAAACTTTAAAAATCCCTATAATCCCAAATCTCAGGACTTAGAAATCTCTAGAATCCCAAATCTCAGGGCTTAAAAAATCCCTAGATCCTGAAATCTTCAGACCCCAAAATCTCCAAATGATCAAACCTTCAGATCCCCAAATCCCTAGAATCCCATATCTCAAAACTTTAAAAATCCCTATAATCCCAAATCTCAGGACTTAGAAATCTCTAGAATCCCAAATCTCAGGGCTTAAAAAATCCCTAGATCCTGAAATCTTCAGACCCCAAAATCTCCAAATGATCAAACCTTCAGATCCCCAAATCCCTAGAATCCCATATCTCAAAACTTTAAAAATCCCTATAATCCCAAATCTCAGGACTTAGAAATCTCTAGAATCCCAAATCTCAGGGCTTAAAAAATCCCTAGATCCTGAAATCTTCAGACCCCAAAATCTCCAAATGATCAAACCTTCAGATCCCCAAATCCCTAGAATCCCATATCTCAAAACTTTAAAAATCCCTATAATCCCAAATCTCAGGACTTAGAAATCTCTAGAATCCCAAATCTCAGGGCTTAAAAAATCCCTAGATCCTGAAATCTTCAGACCCCAAAATCTCCAAATGATCAAACCTTCAGATCCCCAAATCCCTAGAATCCCAAAATCCCTAGTTCCTCAATTTTCAAGCGTCCAAATCTCAAATCTCTTAAGAAACTAAATCCCTAGATCTGCAACCTCCCAAAATTCTAAAAATTCCAAATTCCCTAAAAAATAATGGAAGTCCAAAAAAAATATTTTTTGCTGTTGCACGAAGTTAGATGTCGCGATTTATTGTCACGTGAAAATGCACCTTAAGCCTCCTCGATCAAACGAGCCGTGTACACATTGTGCCCTGCACATGAATTAAAAAATCCCTAGATCCTCAAATCCTTAGAGTCCAAAATCCCTAAATGACCAAACCTTCAGAACCCCAAGTCCCTGGAATCCCACATCTCAAAACTTAAAAAATCCCTAGAATCCCAAATCTCAAGGTTTAAAAAATCCCTGGATCCTGAAATCTTCAGACCCCAAAATCTCCAAATGACCAAACCTTCAGATCCCCAAATCCCTAGAATCCCAAAATCCCTAGTTCCTCAATTTTCAAGCGTCCAAATCTCAAATCTCTTAAGAAACTAAATCCCTAGATCTGCAACCTCCCAAAATTCTAAAAATTCCAAATTCCCTAAAAAATAATGGAAGTCCAAAAAAAATATTTTTTGCTGTTGCACGAAGTTAGATGTCGCGATTTATTGTCACGTGAAAATGCACCTTAAGCCTCCTCGATCAAACGAGCCGTGTACACATTGTGCCCTGCACATGAAGTTTCACGTGTGTGCGTGCGGAGAGCAATCGCGTGTTAAGTAGATTCGGGGAAGAATGCGTTTACGCGTCTCGTTCGAGAATTAAACTCGCTCGGTTCTTTACAAGATTTCCGTCGAGCACGCAACGGGGTTAGAGCTACGAACGCTGGCATTTATCGATGCACGAAAAGTATGCGTCTCGTTGCACCACCCCGCTCGCTCGATTTGCAATCTCGTTTCCTTCCTTCTTTTTCTCCTTTTTTCCCCTTCGTACGAGACTGATGGCCCCTTCGTACGCGGAGCACTTAAGAAGAAAACGTAGTTTCGAATTCACGAAACTTTTAATCCCCTTTTTCTCTCTCTTTCGCTGACGCATCAGTCTTCATTTGCGGGACTCGTCTCGCAAATTTGCCATACGGACACTTGTACGTTATACGTACGCTAATACTCATCGTTTAAGTATGGACCGTTTACGGAATTTTTCGGGATTTTAATGCATACTGTAATTGTAACTGATTATCGATAATTGACAGCAGTAATCATTCAATGAATGATTATTTTGATTAGCGTTAAATATGCACTGATATTTGAAATAAAGTAGCAATTCGATATAATACGTAACGCGTTAATTCGATATTAATTAGAAGCGCAATCATCTGGTAATTAATAATTGATTATCGGATTAATCATGCTCTTTGATTGCGACTCCGATTACTTCCCTTGTTCATTAGCCGCGGATTACAGAGATCGATAATCGCTTGATCATAGTCATTATCTATTAATCCGAGTTCACTTGCACCCCGAAAAATTAACCTGTATTAATTTTGACCTTTGATCAATTAATTTGCACTTGAGAATTGTTAACCTCTCCTACCCTTTCATTAATCAGAATCAAATTGAATTTTAATACTCCATGAAATTAATTGATCAAAGGAGTAATTCGTCTGCACTTGCTAATTGTAAGTGATTAACGAGATTACATTTATCCCCTGTAAATATAAAACGTGTCTTAGTAATTTAGCCAAGTGAACCGTTCGTTATCCACCTTTGACGAAATGATCTTTGACATTTCTCGAATGCCTCGAAACTCTCGGAGAATCCGTATCCAGGTCCGCCCCTGCGTTAGCGTGTAACGAAAGTATTGAATCGTGATAAGATTGCGAGGAATCAAGTGGATGTTAATGCGTCCGTTGCGCAAGGTTCAGATTCTTAAGGTCATAGTTCTCTCGCTCAAAGACGAGCTTATGCAAGTGAAAAGGAGAACACCGTCGACGACGGAACTCGACGGAACGTTATGTGTGTGTGTATGACGGAGAGACGTTCTCCGCTCTGTTTCCGCGATATTATTACGTTTTATGTACGTCTCATGAATTGCGTGTTATTTTTGTTACGACTATGAATTGAGAGGTTGGACGATGCGAGTTGTCGAATGATCTGTACACGAGATATCGTGAATAATTTATTTTGTTCTTTTTTGCAATATAAATATACGTTTTGTAAGTGTTGCGTTGAACAGATGTGCATCGTTTTTTTATTCTACCCTTCACTATATTGTTGCTCGTGCGAAATGATTTGTTTTTCTTCACACGTCGTATTGTCACGCGGTGTAATTTCACGCATTATATTTCGAACGTGTCGAATTTTATGCACTGTACTCTCACGCATTGTATTTACCACGTATTGTATTGCCACGCGTTATATTTCCACGCGTGGCAGTTACTACGCACCGTATTTCCACGCGCCATAATTCCACGCGCCATAGTTCCACGCGCCATAATTCGACGCGCCATAGTTCCACGCGCCATAGTTCCACGCGTCATAGTTCCACGCGTCATAGCTCCACGCGTTGCATTTACCACGCGCAGCAATTTCCACGCACCGTATTTCCACGCGCCGTATTTCCACGCGCCATAGTTCCACGCGCCATAGTTCCACGCGTCATAGCTCCACGCGTCATAGTTCCACGCGTCATAGCTCCACGCGTTGCATTTACCACGCGCAGCAATTTCCACGCACCGTATTTCCACGTGCCGTATTTCCACGCGCCATAGTTTCACGCGTTGCATTTACCACGCACCGAATTTCCACGCGTCGTATTTCCACGCGTTATATACTCCTTCACTTGATATTTCCACGCGTTATATACTGCTGCACGTGGTATTTCCACGCGCCATAGTCCCACGCGCCGCAGATCCACGCGTCGTATTTCCACGCGTCGTATTTCCACGCCTTGTATTTAACACGCGCCATATTTCCACACGTCGCAATTACCACATACCGTATTTCCACGCGTTGTATTTATCTTGCACCGTATTTCTATGCACTGTAATTCCACGCGCCATAGTTCCACGCGTCGTAGTTCCACGCCTTGTATTTATAGCGCGCCATATATTCACATGTCATAATTACCACGTATCATATTTCCCCGCGTTGTATATACCTTGCGTCCTATTTTCGCGCATCATAATTTCATGCGCCGTAATTCCATGCGTCTTATTTTCACGAGTTACATATACAACCCGTTGCACTTACCACCCGTTACATTTACCACGCGCTGCATTTACCACCTGCTGTATTTAACACCCGTTGCATTTACCATAATTCCACGCGTTGTAATTTCACGCGTCTTATTTTCACAAGTAACATATATCATCCGTTGCATTTACTATTCGTTGCATTTACTATTCGTTGCATTGATCACCCGTTGCATTTATTACCCGTTGTATTTACCATCCGTTGCGTTTACTATAATTCCACGCGCTGTAATTCCACGCGTCCTATTTTCACAAGTTACATATACTACTCGTTGTATTTACCACCCGTTGCATGCACTACCCATTGCATTTAAAACCCGTTGCATTTACCATAATTCCACGCGTTGTAATTTCACGCGCCTTATTTTCACAAGTAACATATGTCATCCGTTGCATTTACTATTCGTTGCATTTACTATCCGTTGGATTTACTATTCGTTGCATTTACTATTCGTTGCATTGATCACCCGTTGCATTTATTACCCGTTGTATGTACAACCCGTTGCGTTTACCATAATTCCACGCGCTGTAATTCCACGCGTCCTATTTTCACAAGTTACATATACCACCCGTTGCATTTACTACCCGTTGCGTGCACTACCCATTGCATTTACCACCCGTTGCATTTACCACTTGTTCCACCATCCCACCCGATATTTCCACACTCCATACCACCACGCTCCATATATCCCCGTTGACCCTCACCTACTCCCTTCACCACCCGTTCCCATTAATTTATTTCAACACCTTCCCCAAAAATATCCCTTTCAAGTGTAAATATCCTTCCAAACTTGCACCCTGAACAAAGTCTCACACGGACTCATGAATTCCGACGTCGAAGTTCGATCGCATGAAGCAAGGAAGGGTCGATCGATAGGTCGTTGTTCTTTTTTTCCCCCGGCTTTCAATGTCTCCTTTCAACACAGAGGAACGTCGCCTTCGTTATCACGATTTTCCGATCGTGATACATGGAAACTCCGCATTGATCGAAGGATTCAGCAGCGGAGAATCGGAGGATCGTTTACGAAAGACCTGGACAAGCTTCCTGAAAGGACATTGTCGGCATAGTGCGATCCATCATGGCTGTAGAATCGAGGTAAACGCGTGTAAAACGGCTACGTCTTGCAGAAAATCGGTTCGGGTATTGACAGGCTTTAACTTTGAATATCTGTGGCTTATCAAGATTTAGAGCTCTTCGTTTCACTGTAAAACGTGTGCAGACAGTACAAATTAGCACAAGTGCAATATTTTTTATTCTCGCTTCACGAAAGGAGGTCATGCACGTGGCGAGTGTACTTGAAAGCAATCTTGAGAGGTTTTCTCGATTCAAACGTGAGTGTTTGAACGTCTTATCGATATTTACTTGGCTCTGATAATCTTGATGTGATTACGAAGAGCATTCCAAATGATTAACACAGATATTTTAGGTTAGATTCCAAATTCTCCCAACTTCCGAATTCATCCTCGAAATTTGGGTAATTTGCTAATTTCGAAGTTTACCAAACGTCCAAATTTTCAAGACAAAAACTTGCTGCCGTTTAATCAGCTGCCTTCAAAGACATTTCCGCACGTCGTAAATATCGCAAAGTTCTCGTTTCCGCTCGAACGATGAACATTGTCCAAAGTTTCGGGGCGTAAAGCTTGCCGGGTGATTGATAACGAAGATAAAGGCGTGAAACATGCAGGGAGTTACTGCACGATTTCGCGTTCTTCGTCCCGGGAGAATGTCAGACGCCATTCGCGAACTTGCACAAAAAGGTCCCTTGACGTCCGAAGCTGTTTCTGCAAAAATAAAAGTTGCGGACAAGTCCTGAATTTTGTGTACGCGGAGTACTTCTATGTACCATATTTCTACGCGTGGTATTTTTACGCATTTCAGAATTGTACGCGTAGTATTTCCATGCGCCATTGTTCCACGCGCCGTATTTCCACGCGTCATAGCTCCATGCGCCATAGTTCCACGCGTCATAGTTCCACGCGCCGTATTTCCACGCGTCATAATTCCACGCGCCGTTGTTCCACGCGTCATAGTTCCACGCACCATATTTCCACGCGTTATAGTTCCATGCGCCGTATTTCCACGCTCCGTGTTTCCATGCGTTGCATTTACCACGCATTGCATTTCCACGCGTTGCATTTACTACGCACCGTATTCCCACGCGTTGCATTTACCATGCACTGTATTTCCATGCGTTGCATTTACCACGCACTGTATTCCCACGCGTTGCATTTACCACGCATCGTATTTCCACGCGCCATACTTCTACGCGGCGTAATTCCACGCGTTATATACTGCTTCACGTGGTATTACCAAGCGCCATAATCCCTCGCGCTGTAGTTGCACGTGCCATAGTTGCACGCGCCATAGTTGCCCTCGCTGTACTTCCACGCGCCGTACTTTCACGCGCCATAGTTCCACGCATCGTTCTTTCGATAAAATTCAGAAAGTACTCCCACGTACCACAGTTCCACGCGCCATACGTCCTGAATTTTCTTTTTGCAACAGAAACAGAATTCGAATTCGTAACAGAATGTAGACTCGGTACTCAGCGTCTAATAGCCCTGGAAATATTAAGCTGCTCCAGTTGATTCGTGGAAACGATGTTCGAGGCAGCCATGTTTCACGATAAATCTTGACCAGACGCTTTCAACGGGACTCTTCGAGAAACGAATCGCGGTCAGTTCGGAAGCTCATGGAATTTGTGTGCCTCGAGATTCGTATCGACTGCTCGAAATTCGACCGGAGATATCGTTTCAACGTCCACTTTCCAAGTACTGAATCGAGGATCGCATCGATATTGCTTGCAAGAAACTATGCTCCTCTTATGCCGACACTACGTCTTTCACCGAAATGTTCCAATCAATTAACTAACAGATTCCACCATCTTGATATTCTAAATGGCTGCTGACCACGTGGCTGCCATTTCGATGCACCTGCTTCGAATTTCAAGGTGGCGAAGTTATTCCAAAATTTCGGTTCAAACTATGGTTATTGAGTGTTGCAGGAGGATTATATGGAGAGGATATTTTGTAAATCCACGTGCTGTATTTTCACGTCCCATGATGTCATTAGACTACATATGTTTTGGCGTATATGTTGATTGTTAGCAGTTGTTATGAGGTTTCTTATTGTTGCTACTTTTAAATCAGTTTGAATGCAATATATATTGGTATATGTATGGTACATAGCTCTGTACTGTATATTACTAATTGTATGTATGAATGGATATGTATATGTACGCATATGTATATGCATGTACATGTATATGTATATGTATACATAGGTGTATGTATGTACATGCATATGTATATGTACACATATGTGTATGTATGTACATGTATATGTATATGTACGCATATGTGTATGTATGTACATGTATATGTATATGTACGCATATGTGCATGTATGTACATGCATATTTATATGTACACATATGTGTATGTATGTACATGTATATGTATATGTGCGCATATGTGTATGTATGTACATGTATATGTATATGTACGCATATGGGTATGTATGTACATGTATATATATATAAACGCATATGTGTATGTATGTACATGTATAGGCATATGTGTGCATATATAAATGTACGTATATGTATAAAACAGTGAATAAACCTTGTTCAAAAAGTTACCCATTCCCAAATTTAATTAGCAGAAAGTTCTAATCCCATCATCCCCTATCTTTCCAAATCACCACACTCGCAGCAAAGTTACGAAGATCGAACAACGGGTCTGGCACGACCCTATTGTTTACGAATTATGGCCAGACACACCGTGGTTTCGGTTACCGACTAATTACTCGCCATTCCCCGAGTCGCGACAATTAGCACCGACGACCTGTGCTAACGAGCATAATGATTTGTTTCAGATGGATGCCGTGTCAGCTGAAAATTGAGCCGAACATCTGCAGCTGTGACTATGACGGCATAATACTAGTATCGGGTTGTGCGCCGGGTTTCGATGAACCCGAGCCTTTCAAAACGGTTTTGTACAGCGCTGCTCAGATTGATTCAGCCCTGGGGGTCATCGGCGCTGTTCTGCCTATCAATCTGCCCGCTAAGAGGCTCATTTATAGCCCGACTGGACCTCTCAATATGGATTATCATGATGTACGGAGCTTTGCCGAGGCGGCTACTAAAGGTGTTCAACGGTAATATTTATATTTTTGGGGTGATATGATTTTGTGGGATAGGATTTCATGGGATGTGGTTTAATATGTAGGTTTTATGGGGCTTTTATGGTACTTGTAGGCCGTAACTTCATTATTATGTACTGTATTATTTTTTCTATATTTTCACGCATCGTAATGTCACGCGCTGTATTTCCACACATCCCTTGTTTCTACGCGTGGTATTTCCACGCGTAGTATTTCCACGCGTTCTATATTTCTATATGTGGTATTTCCACGCGCCATAGTTCCACGCACTGTACTTCCACGCGCCATAATTCCACGCACCGTACTTCCACGCGTCGTACTTCCATGCGTCGGACTTCCACGCGCCATACTTCCACGCGCCATACTTCCACGCACCGTATTTCCACACGTTCTATACTCCCATATGTGGTATTTCCACGCGCCATAATTCCATGCTCCGTACTTCCACGCACCATATTTCCACGCGTTCTATACTCCCATATGTGGTATTTCCACGCGCCATAATTCCATGCTCCGTACTTCCACGCACCATATTTCCACGCGTTCTATACTCCCATATGTGGTATTTCCACGCGCCATAATTCCATGCTCCGTACTTCCACGCGCCATAGTTCCACGCACCGTATTTCCACGCGTTCTATACTCTCATATGTGGTATTTCCACGCGTTCTATACTCCTATATGTGGAATTTCCTCGCGCCATAGTTCGATGCTCCGTGCTTCCTCGCGCCATAGTTCCACGCACCATAGCTCCACGCGACATAGTTCCCCGCGCCGTACTTCACCTGTACATACTTTCCCACGTTAGATTTCATCCCTGCATACCTTCCAACGCACGTCACTTCTACTGATACCATACATCTCTTCAAATTCTACCACCTACTGCATCTCCATATACTACTACCTCTATCACCCAATATAATATGATTAAATAATAAGCATTTGCACATCATACATTAACAATTCAGCATTTACCTAAAATGAACAAGTATCCTAGACAAGAATCTCTCCAATTAAGATAAAACTGCATCCCGAATGTCAGGAAGATAAAAACAAAGCTAGAGATCAGCCGGAGACGATTCGCGCGTAATTGCTTATTAATCGCCGGCCGGCTTAATTGGCGCGCCGGAAGGCTCGAAGTGCAGGGTCATTAAGCGAACTCGGATTAGCCGCTTGTTGAATAACGAAGGAGATTTCGCGCGGCGGATAATGCGGTTACCTTCGGCCCTCGTGAGCGTTGCTGCGATCGGCTCTCGAAACGTTTGCTCTCTGTAAAAGTGCACGGGTGCAGGCGTCGAGTGGCGGATAATCGAATTTAACGACAAACCGTCGGCTAACGAGCACACCGAGTTTTCGAATCATCGGTTCGGTCACGCGTGAAAAAGAGCGGTTTCGAGCGGTTTTGTTCGCTGACTCTACCATCAATTCGTTTCTGGTTTCTCGCTCGTTAATTCTTCTTCTACGGGCGACCTGAGCCTTTGCGTACCAAGGACTTCAGTTCAATACTACTCATATTCTATTTTGATTTTTGGGTGGAGACGTGTAATTCACCCCTTGCACTATTTTGATACTGTCTATAAGATGTAAGAAGTACGAGACGTAACTGTTTAGGAAAATAGCTAGTTGGAGAGATAGGGATTTATGGGGTTCAAAATTTGAATACAAGCTTGATATATTTTATTAGCAGAGAAAACGCGCCGTATTTTCATGCATTATATACTCCTACGCGCCGTAATTCCACGCGATGTAATTCCACGCGCCATAATTCTACGCGTCGTAGTTCTACGCGCCGTAGTTCCACGCATTATATACTCCTACGCGCCATAGTTCCATGCGCCGTAATTCCACGCGCCATAATTCTACGCGTCGTAGTTCTACGCGTCATAGTTCCACGCACCATAATTCTCCGCGTCATAGTTCCACGAACCATATTTCCACGCATTATCTACTCCTACGCGCCATAGTTCCATGCGATTCCACGCGACGTAATTCCACGCGCCATAATTCTACGCGTCGTAGTTCTACGCGTCATAGTTCCACGCACCATAATTCTCCGCGTCATAGTTCCACGAACCATATTTCCACGCATTATCTACTCCTACGCGCCATAGTTCCACGCGCCGTAATTCCACGCGCCATAGTTCCACGCTTCATAGTCGCACGCACCGTAATTCCACGCGCCATAGTTCCACGCGCCATATTTCCACGCATTCTGATCTCCTACGTACCGTAGTTCCACGCTCCATAGTGGCACGCACTGTAATTCCACGCACCATAGTTCCACGCTCCATAGTCGCACGCACCGTAATTCCACGCACCATAGTTCCATGCGCTGTATTTCCATGCATTATATACTGCTACGCAACATAATTCCACGCGCTGTAGTTCAGCGCGCTATAATTCTACGCGTCGCAGTTCTACGTGCCGTTCTTCCACACGTCATAGTTCCACGCGCCATAATTCCACGCGTCATAATTCCACGCGCCGTAGTTCCATACGTCATAGTTCCACGCGCCATAATTCCACGCGCCTAGTTCCACGAACCATCTTTTACAATTTAATTATAATTTAATTTCCAATGTATTCAATCTCATAATCTTTACCAATTAAATTATCAAAGAAAGACTAAAATAATTTCCGCTATTTAAAAGCAATAAGCGAATTCTGTCGATGAGAATTAAAACAGATATTGCCTCGAAATTCGAACAATGAGAAATCGAAGTTTGAAATCGATAAGAAACAGATGTAGGCGAGCGGAGTTAGGGTCAGAAAGAGCCGGTATTCATTGACGGATAGGGTTAATCGCGTTATCATCCCGCAAGATTCCGAGGCACCCCTAGTTTCGTATGATCGATGGCCTACGAACAGATAAATTCAGGCGTTGAATATTTATAAGAACCTGCACGGAATAGTTAACCCCGAATCGTGGAAGGGTTGATCGTGCACTGCCGGCTGAATGATTCATAAAAGCTATCGACTTTTCGCGGCGATCGACCGTGTCTATTTATGAATCGTACCGTTCGTCGGATGAGCAAGGTTGATTCCGCCACCATATTTTCGTTGATCAATTCGCAATGGGTTGCGATCAAAGAGCCGGGGGTAAATATTCATGATCGAGGTTCACGCTGACTGTTTTATGCATCGTCACTCTTGCTTTTTATTCTAAATCGCGGAAGAATATCGTACAGTTCGTATGTAATTGATGACTGTAGGATGCTTTAATCTTAAAGCTTTGAAGTTTCATTAATCGGGGGATCAATACTTTGATGTATGGACCGTGGGTTATAGGTCTACGCGCTGTAGTTCGACGCATTTTATATTTCTATATGTGATATTTCACTGCGCCGTAGTTCCACGCGTCGTAGTTCCACGCTCTATAGTTCTACGCACCGTAATTCCACGCGCCATAGTTCCACGCGTCGTATTTCCACGCGTTATGGACTCCTATGCACCGTAATTCCACACGCCATAGTTCCATGCACCGTAATTCCACGCGCCATAGTTTCACGCGCCGTATTTCACGCATTATATACTCCTACGCACCATAGTTCCACGCTCCATAGTCGCACGCATCGTAATTCCACGCACCATAGTTCCACGCTCCATAGTCGCACGCACCGTATTTCCACGCACCATAGTTCCATGCGCCATAGTTCCACGCGCCGTATTTCCATGCATTATATACTGCTACGCGCCATAAACCCACGCGCCGTAGTTCAGCGCGCCATAATTCTACGCGTCGTAGTTCCACACGCCGTAGTTCCACGCGCCATAGTTGAACGCGCCATAATTCCACACGCCGTACTTCCACGCGCCGTAGTTCCACGCGCCATAATTCTACGCGCCATTATTCCACGCGCCGTATTTCCATGCAGTGTAGTTCCACTCGTCATATTTCCACGCGACGTATTTCCACGTATCATATACTCCTACGCGCCATAGTCCCACGTACCATAATTCCACGCCCCGTAGTCCCACGCGCCATAGTTTCCTATTGATATAGAGATTCACGCTGCACTTTCTAAATATTCTACATACCTCTTCGATTTTATATTTGTTCTGTCAACAGAGCTCTGAAGGCTGGCGTCAGATGTCCTCTGCTAGCGCTCCTACCTGACATCCGATTCGAGAATGTGGAGCTTGTGACGCTTCTTGGTGCTCTAGAAGGATTGTACGTGGTGAGTGTCAAACAAAATTTACAGACTTCACATTTAATTCAGGATTCTGAAAATTGAAAATAAATTGCGTTTGGTAATTTTAGAGTTCATAGTAAATGTAGATAGTAATTTTCTGTCTCTGTCTGTCTCAATGATATTAAAGGAATGTGGAGCAAAGATTAGTAACGTCAACGTCGCTGATAAACGCTCGTCGCTCAGTTGTAGGCAACACGACTGGTTAAAGCATTTCCCCGATAGTCGGTCGAAATGTGGTCGCTGCCGCGCCATTTAAACCAATCGAACAGAGACAACATACGGGTGGTCCTGGTCACCGAGGATCGTATCATAGAAACCTGGTAGTTGTGTTTGGGACGAATTCTGCATTCCATTTTGGATTGGTCAGTTTTGACCGGTCTGTTTGGCTTGTTCACTAAAGCGACCCTAATTTGATATCTTGATGTTTGGTTCGACGGAAATTTAGAAAATGGTGTTTCAAAGTTTATTTCGCCACAGATCCACGCGCCGTAGGTCCACGCTCCATAGTTTCACGCGTCGTAGTTCCACGCGCCATAATTCTATGCGTCGTATTTCCACGCGTTATATATTCCCGCGCGATGTAGTTCCACGCACTGTAATTCCACGCGTCGTATTTCCATGCGTTATATATTCCCACGCACTGTAATTCCACGCGTCGTAATTCCACGCGTCATAGTTCCAGGCGCCGTACTTCCACGCGCCATAATTCTACACGTCGTATTTCCACGCGTTATATATTCCCATGCACTGTAGTTCCACGCGCCGTAATTCCACGCGTCGTAGTTCCACGCGTCATAGTTCCACGCGCCGTACTTCCACGCGTCATATTTCCACGCATTACATATTCCTACGCATTGAATTTCTACGCGCCCTAATTCTACCCATTGAATGTCTACGCGCCACAACTCCACGCGTCACACCTTCTCGCGTTGTAATCCCACGCCCTGTATTTCCATATCCCATAACTCACCACGCTATACATTCCCACACATATCTCCCCGCGCTATAGCTGCCATCGTAACACTTCTACGGTTCAGAACAAGTATACTATACCTAACACTTCCACGTTTCTCAACTTAAATCGAGTGGAGTCGTACAGCACCCGACGGCAACGTCTTAATCCATAACTAATGACGTTGGCGTGCATCGAGTCAAGCACGGTTACATGACACGGTAATACTTCGCAAACTCTTGGTCATCCTGTTCCGTTAGTCTCTCGGTAAACGATTGACCCTGGTTCCAGATTCTCCACCTTATCCTCTCGAGCTCCGGCGTTAATCGCCTCGTCCAAGCTGAAAAGTTTGCTCGATTTATTTACGGTTGAATTACCGTTCGTCTAAAATCTATTAACTTCAGAATTATTTTATTTACACTGAATTAATTTTATGTAGAATTTTTGAAACTATATAAACTACGGTGCTGAAAACATGGACCACAATTTGATTGAACGTGGACGTAATTCACTGCGTGACCACATTTACAGCTCGGAATTCACATGTACTGCGTTATGGTCGGGAATCTTTAGCGTGACGGTCGGTCAATTGCTCCTGTAATTAATCCTGTCTCCTCATGACGGTATCGATAATTCAATGGGCAAGATACCGTGCAGATACGATTGTCCAGTATCAAACGACGAATCTCTGTATACAATACGGTCAGCTTCCGATCGCAATTCGAATTGTTAGGAGTCAGCTGTTAGAAAGGAGTCGTTGCAAAGACGTCGATGAACAATGGGGACCCGCAATCCGTTCGTAAGACACACTTATCCATCAGCCACAGCTTGCCTAGCCACTGCTGTTGACAGGTGTTGTTTAATAGCTCTGTTGACCGCGCGTTTCGCTGCTGATACCTGTCACCCGCTGCTGTTTACTCAAAATGTCGTCGAACCGGAACGCCTGCAATTTTATTCGCTCTAATAACCGGGTAGCACGCTGTTACTGCGTTTAAATTTCAAATAACAGTGCTGTACGACTTTCCTCGCGTTATATTGCCGTTTTCATGTTTCGTGTTTTATACTTTATTTTTAGGTTATGGTCAATGGAGGTTAAATTTAGGCCTTGCTGCTTTTAGGTTATATTGTATTTGCTGTAGAGTTAGATAGAGTTAGGTGGAGTTAGATAGAGTTAGATAGAGTTAGATAGGGTTAGATAGGGTTAAATAGGGTTAGGTTATATAGTGAAGTTATTGACTTTGAGAATTTTTTATAGTATGCGAGACATTTTGGGCATTTTAGACAGGTGTACATCATAGACATATGTGCATCATACAATTCTATAATATATTACATTTTTGTCCATATGTGTACATGCATATAATTTCTACATATGTAATATAATATAATATTTTTACATATACATATACATACATATGTTTTCCAATGTGTTACACTTTCTCCACATGTGCAAATACATACAATTTCTACATATGTAATATAATATCATGTCTCTACATATACATATACATATACATACATATGTTCTCCAATATGTTACATTTTCTCCACATGTGCACATACATACAATTTCTACATATGTAATATAATATCATGTCTCTACATATACATATACATAACATACATATGTTCTCCAATATGTTACATTTTCTCCACATGTGTATATACATATAATTTCTACATATGTAATATAATATCATGTCTCTACATATACATATACATATACATACATATGTTCTCCAATATGTCACATTTTCTCCACATGTGTATATACATATAATTTCTACATATGTAATTTAATATAATGTTTCTACATGTACATATACATGTACACATATATGTTCTCCAATATGTTACATTTATTCCACATGTGCACATACATATAATTTCTACATATGTAATATAATATGTTTCTACATATACATATGCATATATGCATGTACAATGTTTCTTCCACTATTTCATTCTGACCAAAGAGCTTCAAACCAAGCTCGTCAAAATTATCCTTAAAGTACAAAGATCCAATTTCAAGCTTCACCAATTAACAACGAAGAGGTGAGATGATCGATACATCAATAACCAAGTAGCCAGGTAAACGTGTACACCGTGTCGGAGGAATGTTAGCCAGGATTTTCGTCCGTTACCTCCGACGCGTGCTTCGGGCTTGTAACTTTAAGCCTCCGATACACTCGGGATCACCGAAGGAAGAGCACGTGCCTTTTCAACGAGAAGAACAGCGCTAGGGGTGGGTGCGAAGGGGTTGCGAGGCGTTCCGTCTTACCAAGAGTAACGGATGCCTGGCGTACCTAAATCCTGGCGGCCGGCGGTGCGACCTAATTAGCGAAATACTCGAGAGCACCCTCTCACCCTCGCCACCCTCTCGCTGTACGTGTGTGTACGCGTGTGCCGCTGTGTTTGAACCATCGACGAGAAGCTCGTTCTTTCGCAGAGCCTTGCTTCCTTCGTCGTTTAGCCTCGCGAATACGGGGCATCGTTTTCCAAATACCGGAAGACGCCCTCGGAATTCCGATGCCGCGTAATCGGAACGCCCGAGCCTCCCCTCTATCTCCGCGTTTCTTACCCCTTCCTACGATTCTTTTCTGTTCTGTTTACTGACAATGCTTTAGTAAATTTTTTTTTACTCAAAACTCGTGTATGTATAAATGTCACATGTGGGGACATCATATGTCATCACATATGGTATATTCGATGTATGAAACCATACAAGGAGGTACAATATTAAACGTAAAATAATATACCTCTTGAATTTAGTATCTAAACCTATGCAAAAGAATACTACACATATGTGTATACGTACACTACACATATGTGTATATGTGTATACGTACACATATGTGTATATGTCCTACTACCCTCGCAAGATGAACTCAAAATAGACTTCCAGAAAATCCACGACACCGAACGACTTTGTAATCTCTTTTATTCCCTCAATGCCTCGATTTTTGTCCTCGCGATTGAAAGAGCACCGAGGATCCCGGTAGTTAATTCGAGGATTTGGAATTTCTATGTTACTGCAGATGGAAGTCGTTTTCATGCAAGTCCAGAAGAAAGTTCGACACCCACGAAATTTCACCCCCTTTCGGACTATCTTTCGCCCGACGAAATTGCTCGAAAATTCGCCAGAGGGCTAATGGAATACCCATTGCCGAGGGAAAAAGGTTCCCCTGCAAATGACTTTCGCGAAGATTACCGTTGCCTGTTCTATCTTCCCTTTTTTCCCTCGCTTTCCACCCTCCGGATGTCGAACCTCTGTTTCCTTGTTTTTTCCTCTGGTATTTTATTTAATATGCAATATTTAATGTGTGCTATTTACTTCTTCTGCGGGTGCAAAACATTGGGTCATTGTAAGAAGGAGGATGCTTAGCTGACGATGAATAAGAAAGGCACAAAAATTACAATAAAAAAATTTTGAAAATGCAACACAAAAATTAGGAAGTCTATTTATGAAACAGTGTAGAAACAATTCGAGATTATATTCACAGAAGAAACGGTATACATAATGGACAAAGTTATAGCCAAACGCTAGCAGTTGCACGTACTAAACGTCTTGGTGAATAATTACGGCGAACGGCAGTAACTGCTGAATATCTAGAAACAAATTTCTGCAAGATGATTAAATAGTTGAGGAAATGGGACGTCCTGCATAGTATATACGATGTTACGATGAAATTCTGTGAAATTCTTAGACGGCAGTCGTCAAATTAGCAGAACGCTAAGCTGTTCACAAAATGTTCCCCGCGATTCCTGGCTTTCCTACGATACCACCGATCTCTCTATGCACAGCTCCCAACTATTCACCTACTTCGAAATAATAGCTATCGGAGAGCATAGCAGATATATCTATACCAGTCTCCTCGGATACGAGCAGCGAATACATTAACGCGAAACTATGCCCGGCGTTCAGATAACGAAGACGACCAGGGCCGGAAACGAGCCATCTTCCGAGCTTAAAGTTATCCAACATTTATGAACAAAAAACCGTCACTAAGTTTATTGCGTTATATTAGAAAATCGCCATGTATTTTTGCTCGTAGGTTCTTGACGTGCGTTGAATTTGACGTGCGTTAGATTTAACGTGCGTTGTATTTACCGTGCGTTGGATGTGCGGTGCGTTGTGTTCCTGTACGTTGAATTTCATATGTGTTTAGTTTGCGATACATTAAATTTGCTGCGAGTTGAGTTCGCAATACATTCAATTGTCTGTGCGTTGAATTTGCAGGGCGTTGTATTGGAGGTGTAGTGAATTTGCAGCGCGTCGTATTTGCTGTGCGTTGAACTCACAACGCGTCGAATTTGCTGCACGTTAAATGTACAATACGTCGAGTTTGCTACGCTTTGAATTTGCTGTGCGTTGAATTTGCAACGCTTCGAATTTGCTGTGCGCTGAATTCGCAGCGCGTCGAAGTTGCTGTGCGTTGAACTCAGAACGCGTCAAATTTGCTGCACATTAAATTTACAATGCGTTGAATTTGCTACGCGTTGAACTTGGAACGCGTCGACTTTGCTATGCGTTAAAATTGCAACGCTTTGAATTTGCTGTGCGTTGAATTTGCAGCGCGTCGAATTTGCTGCACATTAAATTCACAATGCATCGAGTTTGCTACGCGTTGAATTTGCAACGCATCGAATTTGCTATGCGTTGAACTTGCAACGCTTCGAATTTGCTGTGCGTTGAATTCACAGCGCGTCGAATTTGTTGTGCGTTGAATTCGCAGCGCGTCAATTTCTCCACGTATTAAACTTTGCACGCGACAAATTTGCAACGCGTTCAAATCATCGCACATTAAGTTCGATATGTATTACCTCTCCTCGCATTGCGACGCGTCTTAAACTCCCCGTGTGTTGAATTCACCGCACGTCACATTCACCGCACGTTAAATTCACCGCACGTTAAATTCACCGCACGTTAAACTCACCGCACGTTAAATTCACCGCACGTTACATTTTCACATATCAATCTTACACGTCATTTCGCGACTGCTAAACGTCAAATCAGCTGTGAGTCAAATTCGACGTGCGTTGAACGACGTTATATCACCGCACACAGAATTTCGCTGGGACCAGCTATAAGAATGAATCTGTTAGAAAAACAGAGAAGGGAAAAAAGGAAGAGTTTGGGTTCTCGATGGGTCGAGAGGGTGAAATATTAAGGCGGATTAGTAGGAGGACTTTCGAACGAGACACACGTCCAGCACGGAAGTCCAAGCCGTCGCTTATGAACCAGCGATCCACTAAGAGGATTATCCGCTTTAATATTTTCTGTCTGGGGGAACAAAGCCGCTAAGAAGCTGCGTTAGGAAGCGGACTCGACCGCTTACAGAAACTCGACGAAAACTTGGTGAAATATTCTAGCAGGAGGTGGAATCTTCGTCAAGCCTGTCCTGTCCTCCCGTTTATTAGCTAATTAGGGGCTGCTTTTGAGCGCACGTCGAGCTTTTAAGTCACGGAAGGTGACTCTCTGGCTTCGAGTCCCTGTTTAATATTGGCCCGTTTAAAGAGACACAAGGTAGCCGGGGGAATATTTCGTCGACCAGAATTATTACCAACATTCGCGATTATCCTACTTTCGCTTTGTTTTTTATTCCGTTCGGTGTACATCCTGTTGAATCCATCGCAGTGCGCCGTTTCGCTTAATATTTAAATGGGCGCGGAACGTCGATTCAATAACGCCATTGTTTATTTGTTGTTCGCTGTAATTAGCGAATGTTAATTATTAAATTGACAGAGGACGTATTTTGTTAGCGAACAATACGAATTTCCTTTTACATTCCATTTTTAGCCGGAAAAGGCTGCAGGGCTAATTTCGGCCGGTATCGATCTCGAAGCCAAGGCGAGCTCCTTTTCAAGCGTTTCTTTATCTCTCGGCCAATAATAGCGCAGAAATCGCTTTTTTTCCAATTTAATCAGCCTGATAAATGCCGGTGCAAAATTTATCGAGTCTAATGTACTATTTAAACCGAACATTTCATCCCGGCATTATCCTTTTATTAACTACGGATTTCCATATCATCACAATTTTGTATTCAATTACTCAGCAAATAACCACTGGTTTCGTATTATTATATAACGTTGGTAGGAATAATCCACCGCAAGGGATTATTTCGTGGTTATATTATAAAAGCGAAATTTACGTGTATGTTGTATCGAGTATTGTTTCATTTCTCTATAGTTGCCAGATTTCAATATATGGTTACTACATTTCTGTACTATAGGTTTCTAGGTTACTTAGCTTTTAGGTTACTAGGTTATTGGACTCAGGTTATTACATTCCTAGTGTTCTTAGGTCTAGAGGACTATATTCCTAGAGTGTTACGTTAGTCAGATTACACTATGGACAGATTACCTATGTCCCAGACGTGTATTCTTATATATGCATATGTTTAGATAGGTAGATCCAGAGGTATCTATGTCTCCAGACACATATATTCCTAAATACACATTTGTTTAGATAGGTGGACCCAGAGGTAACTATGTCTCCAAACACCTATATTCCTAAATACACATGTGTCTAGATAGGTAGACCCAGAGGTATCTATGTTCCAGACCTATATTCCTAAATACACATATGACTAGATAGGTAGACCCAGAGGTATCTATGTCTCCAGACACCTATATTCCCAAATACACATATGTCTAGATAGGTAGACCCAGAGTTATCTATGTTCCCAGACACCTATATTCCTAAATACACATATGGCTAGATAGATGGACCCAGAGGTATCTATGTCTCCAGACACCTATATTCCCAAATACACATGTGCTCACATACTTAGACTCAGAGGTACCTATGTTCCTAGATACCTATCTTCCAACATTCTTATATCTCTCAGATACCTATAATTCCAATACCTCTACTTTATCACATATCTACATCCTCAGATACCTATATGTCCACATACCTATACGTCCACATACCTATATGTCCACATACTTGTATTCCCAGATACCCATATGTCCACATCCCTGTACTCCCAAATACCTATATGGCCACATACTTGCATTCTCAGAAACCTATATGTCCACATACTTGTATTCCCAAATACCTATATGTCCACATACTTGCGTTCTCAGAAACCTATATGTCTACATACTTGTATTCCCAAAAACCTATATGTCCACATACTTGAATTCTCAGAAACCTATATGTCCACATACTTGTATTCCCAAATACCCATATGTCCACATCTCTGTATTCTCAGATACCTATATGTCCACATCACAGTATTCCCAAAAACCTATATTCCTAGTACACTACACTAGATCTTACATCTAATATCCTATCCTACATCACTATTTCTCCACATGTCCAGATGAAAGATTGTCCAAATAAAAAATGAATCTCCCAAATTTGAACATGCTTAGATCTCTCCATCTTTAGACCCTGATATGTCTAGCTCCACATGTCCTTACATCTCTATATGTATGTACACCTATACACGTCTGTGCACCTATATGTCCGTGCACTTATATCTGTACCTCTCTAGTAGCAATAATTGTCCGAATCTTGTACCGTTCCACCGTCGCAGCTGCAATTTATTTCCCGTTTTTGCACAGCCGCTAGAAGTACGAGAGACATGCCCGGACCGTTGCTACAAGGCGTGTCAGCTGGCTGTCTGGAGTCCGATTTGCAGTAAGAAGCTTCAGGGTATCGTGAAGCTGGCCTCGGCACTCGAGAGCGGAAGATACGTCGCGAGGGACATCGGTAAGTCGTTCCTCGGCCGAGATTTCTATTGCTTTATCGAGCAGACTCCTCGAAGAATGGACCCAACTTCCGTTCCACGACGGAACAGTGGGCTGGAAAAATCGCTCGCGGCTACCACCTCGACGTGGCTGGTCGAGCGTGAACCTTGACACTTCTCCACGGTCTCTAAAATCAACCGACGTGATTTTGTCCAGAGTTACTCTTGGCATGAAACGGATTTTCGTAAAGTTTTAACTTCTTACTTCGCTGTAGTGTCATTGTAGTGTGACATTGCTCTATCGAACTATATCGAATTACTTTTTATGACTAAATTATAACTTTTCCAAAGATATACTTAGACTTTTTTAACCTCGATAAATTTTTAGAAAATTCACAAATGGTAATTTTGAAATGTCTCCAGAAGCTGTCCTGGTGTCTAAGAAGTTAACGAAGACGTACCGGTTTTTGGAGTAATCTTTCGTTTATATAATTTTGCTCGAATTCCTTGTCCGTCGGCTCAGCAATTCGACGCGTTCCTCCGTCGCTGCAGGAATGTAAATTTCAGCCCGTTCTACTTGCACGTTGCACCAAGAATCTCGAGCGTTTAATTAAGGAAGAAAAAGTTGTGCGTACAGGTTTTTTCGCGACCAGAACTCGCACGCGTTTTAAATACTCGAAATCGAAAAAGTCTTCAAAGTATCAAAATAAAAAAATGACTTTTATTTTCGAAGGTCGTGAAACCGGCGATGAAGTGTGCTAAATGAAACCAGCCTCTCTTCGTTTTTCCCTTCCATTCACGCTGTTAAAGAGCTTAAAGCGCTGAAGGATTAAACTGTTCGACTGAAATTATTATATACGCTCGTGTACGGCGCGGTCATCCTCGCGAAATAAAACAGGATTCCCTTGTAATTTCCGTGCATAAAATTACGCGCGATCTTAGAGCGTCCTCCTTTTTAATACGATGCTAAATCTTCTGCAAAATTAAAAAAGATATCGCCGAGAATCCGGAAAGTCACCGGCCGCTATAGATTTAAATTTAAGCCTCGTTAGACCTCTTCTTGCCACGTCGTATTACCGTTTTTTCTTGTTTCGAACTACGGAAAACGTGTGGTCGCGGACGTCCGGCCAAACGAAAATACGTGGGTCATTGGAGAACTTTCGAATTGCTAGCGTGAGAAACTCTGCACTCTACTTTGGCACTACATCAATTGGTAGCCTAATCGTCGAGCTGTGAGGTAGTCTCGTTTTTAGGCTAGTGGGTACTTTAGTATGATAGTGTGATAGATAGGTTCATAGGTAGTTATGGACAGATACATATATTCTTAGATAGGTTCATAGGTAGCTATGGACAGATACATATGGTCTTAGATAGGTTCATAGATAGCTATGGACAGATGCATATATTCTTAGATAGGTCCATACGTACTTATGGTCATAGGTACATATGTTCTTGGATAGGTTCATACGTACTTATGGTACGAACACATATGTACCTGTCCATGTCCCCAAATGCCTATGTCCCTAAATGTCCACATCCCTGACAGCCTATGTGCTCATATGTCCACAATACTTACATCACCCATATGTTCAAACTCATCAGTGCCTATATTCCTGACAGCCCATGTCCCCAAATGCCTATGTCCCTAAATGTCCATATCCCTAACAGCCTATGACTCCACATGTCCACAATACTCGCATCACCCATATCTCCAAACACACCAGTGCCTATAACCCCGACAGCCTAAGTCCCCAAACGTCCAAAACACATCACCCATCCCTCCAAACACCCCAGTGCCTATAACCCAACAGCCTACGTCCCCAAATTTCCAAAACACATCACCCTAATCTCCGTCAAACCTAAATTTCGTTGCAGGTGGCGCCGACCCAGAGCGAATGGCCCCGCCCCGAGTGGAGGAGTACCTGGCCGAGTTGTTCTGCGGTTCCAACGTGACAATGCAGGTGGTGTCCGACCAGGACACCCTGCTGCAGGAGTACCCATTGTTCGCGTGCGTGAATCGCGCAGCGTCGATGATACCCCGCCACGCGGGCAGGATAATCTTCCTGACGTACGAACCGCCTAATCCCGCCTGCATCCTGGAGACGGTGATGCTCGTCGGAAAGGGTGTCACTTACGACACCGGCGGCGTCGACGTCAAGATCGAGGGCACAATGCGCTGCATGTCGAGGGACAAATGTGGGGCGGCGGCGTGTGCCGGATTCATGCAGGTGCTTCCATATAATAGGAGTGTTCGCGGTTCATCGGCCATATTGTTTCGGCGGGATGAATCCGACGTTTCGTTTTTCGACGGTGTATACGGGTCGTTTCGTACCGTGACGAGATTCCTGGATTTAACGTCGAGCGTTTCATTTCACCAACGATTAAATCGACGAGATTACGGTGTGCAGCGTGGCAATTCATGATCGAACGCCGCGTTTAATGCTGCTCGCGACTCACGAAATTTAGTCGGACGATGTCCGGATTTGGGACTGTGTGTGGCCATATATTTCGAATGATAGATTGCTCGGCGTTTAACAAAAAGCTTCATATCGAGCTTATTTTCTCCGTCTACTTTTTCGCTTTCATTATCTGACTCCGAGTTGTCGGAGCAATTTCATTTATCAAGGAGACGATTTGACCCACGTCGAGACTGTTTCTCAACTGGTCAGCACTATACAATAGAAATATTTGATCTTGAATTCCAAGGTCAAATTTTACATACGAATATATGAAGATATCTTCATCAAATGGTTTTTCTGTTGTTACAAAGATGTCAGACATCCTTTGTTTCCAAAATTCAATGCCTCTCTCCAAGTGGTCAGAACAGATTCGTTTATCCGGACATCATCTATATTCAATGAGCGTCGTTGTTCTCCGCAGATAAAGCTCCCATTCGCAGGTAGTGAATCTGCTGCAACCACCAACAGTGAAGGCGGTGGCCGCTTTGTGCGTCGTGAGGAACAGCATCGGCGAGAACTCGTACGTCTCCGACGAGGTGATCACCGCGAAAGCCGGCGTCCGGGTACGTGTCGGGAATACGGACGCCGAAGGCAGAATGGCCATGGCCGACGCTCTCTGTCACATCAAAGAAATGGCCCTGTGCTCCGTTAATCCCCACATCTTCACCATCGCCACGCTCACCGACCACGCGATACTCACCGTCGGCCGAGGATACTCGGTGAGTCCTCCCTCAAAACTCTTCGATACGGGGGGATAACCGTCTGTGTTCGTAGATCGCGATGGATAACGCGGTCGCCCGTTTAGTCAGCAACGCGGAGAAGCTTCAGGCGTCTGGGGAGACGATGGGCGACCCCTTCGAGATCTCCAGGATACGCAGGGAGGACTTCCGGTTCCATGAAGGGCGAACTGAAGGTGACGATATTCTGCAGTCAGCTAATAAGACCTGTAGGACCACGGTTAGGGGACACCAGGGACCCTCCGCGTTTCTCATCATGGCTTCTGGCTTGGACAAGGTATGTTTATAATGTCCACAGAGTGTATAATGTCCACTCATCCACTAGTGGACATTATAATGTTACACAGATGGAGGTAAGATTGTTTATCTATAAGGTTGTGTTTGTATCTTGACTGCTTATTCTGCGTTGAATGCAACAGACAGGTTCTGCGTTAAAATTGAAAATGATATTTTAATCATCAGACGAATGCTATGATACGTTGATTCTTCGAAGGTTGCATAATGCACGAAAATGCAGCTCGGTTCCTTATTTTGCAGTTATGTTTAACGCGGCGTAAAGCGCTCCTCGGCAGAAAAGCAGGATGAATTTTTTATAGGCGATCAGCTTAACATAAGTACCGCGAGGAGCCATTAATGGCAGATTAAAAAGCTTTTCCATTGCAATGACGTTTAAAGCCTCATTTAGCCAGCCTCTCCTTTTCTATCCGTTCGCTCTTTCTCATCCCCTCGTATCGATTGCAGCACGGTGCCTGTAGCTGTTCTCCCTTAAAATACACGCACATCGATATATACGGACATCTACCCGATCCTCACCACCTACCCTACAGCGGCAACCCTGTCCTGGCTTTGTCCTACTGTTACCTCATTCAAGGCAAGTGCCTCACCGTTCGAAACGACCTGCCGTTCGAGATGCAGTACGTCTGCGAAGTGGACTGCAAGCCAGTGTGCATTCAACCCTGTCAACCCTGCCCGTGCCCGCCGCCGGCAGAAGCGAAGATAACCTGTGTTTCTACAAATTGTGCTTGCTGCGCGCAGTGTCCGCAGCAGTGTGACCCTTGTTGCGCTGTTCCTTGCAAGCCCTGTCCCCCTGTACCCTGTCCGCCGTGCCCCCCGTGTGCTGTTCCTTGTCAGCCTTGTCAGCCTTGTCCTCCTTGCCCTGTACCCTGCGCTGGAGAACCTATTAACGTCGTGGAACCTATTTGTAGGCCCAATGTACAGAAGGGGATGAACGTGTGCTAATTGTATACATGTATTTTGTATTGGGATTTTTAGAGGTTTTTGAAATACAGTTTTCTTAGTAGCATTCTGGGGTTTTTATTTGAAATAAAATTTATTTATTCGAAAATAATTTATTTTTTAAAATTTATTTAATTTGTTTGTGTAATTAGTGAAATGATGAGGTGGGTGAGCTGGGCAAGAAGTAATTTATGACTATTTTTGTATACATAGCTTTCTGAAACAAAGCTTGAGAGGTAATAGGTGAGATGATGTTTTATATAGAGTCATCAAGAAATAATTTTAATTAGTATGTGAGGAGTTGTAATTTTGATATGAAGATAAAGAGAAGTATTTTTAGGGTACTGAAGCTTGGGAGGTGTTTTGACAGCAGTAGAAAAGGAGGTACACTGTTGTAGCTCTCTGTCTTTACAACAATCAGTAATATATTAACTACAGTCGAGCTTGTGACTTTATCTACAGTTCGTCTGATAGAAAACTACCAGAGAATACATATATATATTCTGACAAAATGAATTATTTTTCAGTACTCAATGTGTAACTAGCAATTTTCCAAATTTAAAACAGGAATTTTGTTGAAAATATTGAAGAAAGAATGAAAATCATTTGAATTCAAGGAAAATTGGCGCCAATTACTGGTGGCGCCATCTCTCCGGCGAATAGGGTGAACTACACGCTCTGGAGACACCTCTTCGTTTAGTTCCACCTTTCGCCGCTAGGGGCGCCACATGTACCTTCTATTAATAAATAATATTAACTTAATAGACTTTTTATCACTTCTAAAACATTCTGTAACTAAAGGACGCTAATTCTGATAGACAGTTATCTTTTATTATCGTCGATTACGCTGAAAAATCAAAATTTGTTGCATTCGTTTCGAAAACTATACACGTGGCGCCATCTAGCGGTGAAAGGTGGGAACTAAACAAAGTAGTGTCTCATATGAGTGTAGTTCACCCTGTTCGCCGGAGAGATGGCGCCACCAGTACTATTTTCGAAAAAGTCGATTAATTTTAATTTTAATGCCTTAATTGACTATCATATGCGTCAAATTACTTCTGAGACTCATAATAAATATTTTTAGAGTATTATAAAAGCACTATGACATGGAAAAGTCGATAAATGCGAAAATTTTAATGTCACCTTAGTTCAGTTACCTTCCACCTTCCATCGCTATATGGATAAGCAATTTATTACTTTGGTAAGCATTCTACTACGAAATTAATAATAAAAACTCCACGAAAAAGAAGCCCCCCTCTTTTCCTACAAGACCGATCGTCCCACATTTATAACACAATTCTCCTCCTTTCCCACAACAGAAAGTAAGATTACCCTCCGTTGCTTCACCATACCATCAACCGCTAAGAACAGGAATTTACCTAACCCACAGAGAATAACCCTAATAACTATCATTAAAATTACCATACGCAATTCGACCACAAAATTGTGCAATGTCTCGAAACAAAATTCCCAAGAAGGTTGTATAACGTCGACGAAGATGATGAGACAGAAAAAGTTGTCCAGTTCGGTTTTCAGACAGCGCAGCAACGTCCGCTTCTCACGAGAGAAGCGGTCTGTTGAAAAATCCGAGATCACGCGCATTCCATTTGGGGCTCGGAAACGTCGCGACATATGCCAATAAGCGTTTCCGGGTCAGCGGTGTCCTATCTGCGGAATGCAATCTAAGCGAACGGCGACGTGGGACAGGAATCATCGAACTTTCCAGACTGTCGATTACCGCGTAACAGAGCGCGGCGTACGTGCAACCTAGGCTTCCTTCACTCGGTAGGAAGCGTAGGAGGATAGATTCTAGGTTAGTTGAAGTCCAGGTTGGATACTTTGGACTTGTGTCTGAAGACTGTAGGTCCTAGACTGTGGGACTAACTGAGGTCATAGGTACCAAACTTCTCTGGGTCATAGACATCTTCGTATGTTCCTCAGATTCTGAGCTCTTCTAATGATCCCCACATCTTGAAATCTTTGTGTGTTCCTCAGATTATGAGCTTCTCTTATAATCCTCACATCTGAAAGTCTTCCTATGCTCCTCAAATCTTAAACTACTCTTGTGATCCTCATATCTTGAAATCTACATATGATCCTCAAGTCATAAGATCTACCTATGATCCTCAGATCTTAAAATCTTCATATGATCCTCAAATCATAAGATCTACCTATGATCCTCACATCTTGAAATCTTCATATGATCCTCAAATCATAAGATCTACCTACGATCCTCAGATCTTGAAATCTTCATATGTTCCTCAAATCATAAGATCTACCTATGATCCTCAGATCTTAAAATCTTCATATGATCCTCAAATCATAAGATCTACCTATGATCCTCACATCTTGAAATCTTCATATGTTCCTCAGATCCTAGGATCTATCTATGATCCTCACATCTTGAAATCTTCATATGATCCTCAAATCCTAAGCTCTCCTGATGAATCCCACATCTTGAAATCTTCATAAGTTCCTCACATCATAATCTTCTCCTATAATCCTCACATCTGAAAGTCTTCCTATGTACCTCAAATCTTAAACTACTCTTACGATCTTCACATCTTGAAATCTCCATATGATCCTCAAATCCTACGCTCTACCGATGATCCTCAAATCTTGAAATCTTCATATGCTCCCAAGTTCCTTCTACACTATCACATGCTATGTTCCCCAGACCCTCAGATCTTCAAAAACTGAAATCTCCAGATATGATTCTACATTCTACCCAACTCCCATAAATCTCCCGCTTATCCTAACGTTCCGTAACTTCAGAACACCAAGGCAAATGATGGTTTCTCCCAGGAAGACTACCGAACTCACCAACGCGTCGAAACCCGAGACACTGTCGCGATAATGTACGTATGTCCGCCCTGGCATTGTTAAGGTGAGCCTCCGCTATCGGGAAGTCGATCCAGCGATCCCGATAAAACGGACAAGGTCTACAAGCCTCGAAGTGGACAGGATCGTAATATCTCCTGATTGCTAAATTAACGCTTCTCTCGATAGCGTTATCCTGTGCTACGCGATATACTCTGTGAAACTGGCTGATAAACGATGGTGTATCGTGTTTGTTTCTCGGAATGAACTGCAACCTTCGGTTGAATTTACATGTACGTCGACGGTTTTTTATCTGAAGGATGAGCTTTCTCACCGTAAGTCCGCGCTTGGAATTCCAACGCGTGGATTTACGGTGCGTGGAGTTACCACGCGTGGAATTACTACGCGTGGAATTATGGTGCGTGGAGTTACTAGGCGTGGAATTACCACGCTTGGAATTCCAACGCATGGAATTACGGTGCGTGGAGTTACCACGCGTGGAATTACTACGCGTGGAATTATGGTGCGTGGAGTTACTAGGCGTGGAATTACCACGCTTGGAATTCCAACGCATGGAATTACGGTGCGTGGAGTTACCACGCGTGGAATTACTACGCGTGGAATTATGGTGCGTGGAGTTACTAGGCGTGGAATTACCACGCTTGGAATTCCAACGCATGGAATTACGGTGCGTGGAGTTACCACGCGTGGAATTACTACGCGTGGAATTATGGTGCGTGGAGTTACTAGGCGTGGAATTACCACGCTTGGAATTCCAACGCATGGAATTACGGTGCGTGGAGTTACCACGCGTGGAATTACGGTGCGTGGACTTACCACGCTTGGAATTCCAACGCGTGGAATTACAGTGCATGGAGTTACCACGCGTGGAATTGCTACGCTTGGAATTCCAACGCGTGGAATCACGGTGCGTGGAGTTACTACGCGTGGAATTACCACGCTTGGAATTCCAACGCATGGAATTACGGTGCGTGGAGTTACCGCGCTTGGAATCACGGTGCGTGGAGTTTCCACGCTTGAAATTCCAACGCGTGGAATTACGGTGCATGGAGTTACCACGCGTGGAATTACTACGCTTGGAATTCCAACGCGTGGAATTACGGTGTGTGGAGTTATCACGCATGGAATTATGGCGCGCGGAATTACTACGCTTCGAATTCCAACACGTGGAATTACGGTGCATGGAGTTACCACGCGTGGAATTACTACGCTTGGAATTCCAACACGTGGAATTACGGTGCATGGAGTTACCACGCGTGGAATTACTACGCTTGGAATTCCAACACGTGGAATTACGGTGCATGGAGTTACCACGCGTGGAATTACTACGCTTGGAATTCCAACACGTGGAATTACGGTGCATGGAGTTACCACGCGTGGAATTACTACGCTTGGAATTTCAACGCGTGGAATTACGGTGCATGGAGTTACCACGCGTGGAATTACTACGCTTGGAATTCCAACGCGTGGAATTACGGTGTGTGGAGTTACCACGCATGGAATTATGACGCGTGGAATTACTACGCTTCGAATTCCAACGCGTGGAATTACAGTGCGTGGAGTTACTACGCGTGGAATTACTACGCTTGGAATTCCAACGCGTGGAATTACGGTGTGTGGAGTTACCACGCATGGAATTATGACGCGTGGAATTACTACGCTTCGAATTCCAACGCGTGGAATTACAGTGCGTGGAGTTACTACGCGTGGAATTACCACGCTTGGAATTCCAACGCGTGGAATTACGGTGCATGGAGTTACCACGCGTGGAATTGCTACGCTTGGAATTCCAACGCGTGGAATCACGGTGCGTGGAGTTACTACGCGTGGAATTACCACGCATGGTATTCCAACGCGTGGAATTACGATGCATGAAGTTACTGCGCTTGGAATTACGGTGCGTGGAGTTACCACGCGTGGAATTACGGTGCGTGGACTTACCACGCTTGGAATTCCAACGCGTGGAATTACAGTGCATGGAGTTACCACGCGTGGAATTACCACGCTTGGAATTCCAATTTAGAACAATAATTTTCGACGTTTGTCCAGTTAGATCGGCAGCAGTGCGATGGCAACGCGCGAACCTGAAACGAGCAGGAGAATAACGTGGAAGGGAAACTTAATTACGGCCACGTCCTTTCTTAATTAAGAGAAAATGTTTGGCGTATCTTGCCGAGATT